ATATATATATATATATATTATGGTTTGGAATCCAGAAATGGGCAGCGTTTTGTTTTGACAGCTATGTAAGACTGAATAAGAATCTTCTAAACTTTTCCTTTTGCTGAGACAGCATTGATAAGAGAGTCCAGAATCTTACCTCCTACTTCTTTTCCCTGATTTTTTCCCTACTTGGGGAAATTGTGGTAACTCCCTCAGAACAGGCATCTGTTTTCTAAATCTGTTTGAATCATTTTAAGGTCAGTGATGACTCTCTGGAGAGTAATTGATTTTATGCTGGCTATGAGGATTCCTTCTGCTGTTGGGTATGGAGTGGTGTTCCTAATGATACTAAGAGCAGAAGAAAAATCCCAAAACTTTCAGTTTTTCAACATGCCACTCCCCTGCCCAAATGATTTATGATTTCTTCTTTTGAAAGGAAAAAGAGATGCTAGTTATTTTTAAACATTGCCTTCTAAGTTCAGATACATTTTATGCCTTCTGTTATGTTGTTTTTAAAGTTCTTCCTGGACACATGACATGTATGAGGAATGTCTTTATAATCATTGTATTTGGTAAAATTTTGGTTTGTGAGATTTTAACGTGATCCTTTATGTTTATATAGCTTTAGGTGTCTTGGAAATGCTTCAGAATTGCTTGTCAGTTCTCTTCATACTAATCCCATCCTCTGAAGACCAGTCAAATTTTTAGCTGGCTCATAGTGGCTCATCTCAGGCATGTAGCTTAGGAGACTGATACCTCTAGGCTTAGCACTACGAGTCATGCTTTGGAAGGCTGTACCTTAACTGCTCTGGCTGTATGTAGCACCTAGGAAAGCCAGGTTTCTGAGCTACTAGTCTAAAGCTAGATGACAGCAGTACCCTTAAGAGAGTGTTCTGTTCATGCAAAGTCTCTCTGCCAGTTTCTTAAACCTTTACTTCTTCAAGATATATCTTGGCATGTACCCTTTTAAGTGTTGTTTTCATTTAGGGATTTCCTTGGAAATAGATAAAATAAGTGGAAAAACAGTAGTTCTGTTATATCTGAAAGCTTGTATTAAATTTTGAATCGAAAGTTGGTGTACCTTTGCTGTGTTGTTACTAAACCCAGTTTTAAGACCATTGAGTCAACTTTTATTGAAACATTTCCTCTCGGTATGGAATTTGCTGGAATACTAGCTTTTAATTGAAAATGAGGTCATATCCTGCACAGACCTCCATGTCTTTTCAGATTGATGTTTGTATTTCCTTGTTTGCTTGACAGCTCTTTAATTACAGACCTAATGTTGCCCAGCCAAGTAGCACAGGGAAGGGGTTATCTGCCCAGAGAGCTGAGGCTCACAGTTACCATTTTTTACCTTATCCGGTCTTTCTAATGGACTCGAATCAAACAGGCACTTCTAGAAGGATGAGACAGACCACAGCCTTGTGGGCCTCTGGTTGCCATGCATATTTTTCTTAAGCACTAATTAAAACAATCTTTATCAACAGTGAACTCAGATGTCATGAATGTATCTCTGCTGGGAAGAGAAATGGTGTTTTCCTGACTACATTTATTACAATAAATGTACCAAACAAAGGCAAAAGCCTTGTGCTAAATTATTTGCTGTATTTTTGCATAAGGCAGCGCTGCTTCTGAAAGGTAATGTTGTCAACACAGTAACAGATCAGAATTAGAAACAAAATAATGTGATTGTTCAAATATCTTGGACAGTGTCCACATGGGAGAAACCAGAGGGTTTTGTTTCATCTTCAAATGAGAAGGGTCAACGTGACAAGCGTTCTGAAGAGCGTGCAGAAACAGATTCCAAAGCGTCTGAATCAGACTCAGAAGAGAGTGAAAATGAAGCTCAGAGTTTCAAGGTAAGTTTCCTCTTCAGATTTATTTTACACACAGTATTCATTTTCTAGCATAAGGCGTTTTATCTCTTGTGTAGGGCTGTACTTACTGCAATGAGGTTAAATCGTATGACTGAAGGCAGAACTTTGCACTTGTTTGAATAGTTAAATGAATCTTTATTCAATTGTTTGGGCCATTAGTGGCACAGTTCCAGAATAAAAAACATGCTCTTTCGTTCAGCACACCAAAAGTAGCTTGAATTCTGCAAGAAATGTGATGTTCTCTGAGAAAGGTGACTGGCACCTCTCTGAAATAGTCTGCAAAATGGTTTGGATTTCCATGTGAGGGTGACTTCAAACCTTCATTGGTAAATGTGACTGCTGCGGGGACCTTCAGGGAATGCTCCTGACCAAAAATGGCATGATTGTAGTTTCCTGACTAACTGAGAAAAACAACGGCAGCACCGAGTACAAAACCTGTATCAATTACATATTTTTGTCTTCATCTTTTAAACATAAAATAAGGGGTCTGATTCTATCTCTGGTCAAGTCAGATGGTTTTTCTGAAACTGGTAGTTCAGAACAGGCAGTGACAGTTGAAATATAAAATGTATTCACAGACAGGTGTTAATTCTCAACTATGTCCTTTTGGATGACTGTGCATCATTATAAACTGCTACCAGGTATTAGCTGTAAATTGTGTGTATCTGCATGCACAGGAAACCATATGTGAATTTTTGTCTTTTTTTTTTTTTAACACATGCTAAGCTTCGTTTTTAAATAAGTTTGTATTGGCTATTCCTTGCTAACCTCAGCCCTGAGACATGGGATTTTCCAGCTTTAATGTTTTACAACATTTAAGATTTGTTTTCAACTTTGTATGCCATCAAAGCTCATGGAGAAAAACTTAAAGATCTTACTAAAAAATGTGTTTATTGTTTCAAGTTACTCTTGGTTGAAAAGTATGAATAGTAGATAACAGTGTATAAAAGGTGTAAAATAAAGCTACATTGTGTTTTTATTTAGGCATTTTTGCTTAAGGTGGGTTTTTTCCTCTTTAGAGGAAAGGAGGTAATGGTGAAGAATCAGAGGAAGGGAAAAAATCTCCCAGAGCTAAAAAGTTAAGTCCTTATGGGAAATGGAGAGAAGTGAAGCCAGCAGAAACTGTTGATCAAGAGGAGAGTACATCAGCTTCCCAAGAAACCTCTAGTGATGCATCTAACAAGACCAAGCCTTATGGAAAATGGAAAGCAATTACAGAAAAAGTAGAAGAGGAAGAAGAAGAGGAACCATGGTAAGGAACTTTTTACCGTAGTTGCTTTCATAATATTTGTTTCCAGAATACTTGTTTTCAAGAGCTGAAGCTTTTTCTTCTGGATTCTGGCAGAATGAGCACAGCAGTGGTTGGAAACATAGGGAAAATACAGTTCTTTCTGCAGCGACAGTTTTATGTGACAGCTCTCCACGGTGGGTAGTGGTGGTGGTTTGGGTTTTGTGGTTGAAGTTCACCGTGAGTACAAACCAACTAACAAGATTGAGAGGGTCACTGCCATCCATCATTTTTCTCAAATGCTGAGTATCAACTATTTTAAGTGTAGTCACCCTAAGCTTATATTCCTTAACGCAGTCTCCTTCAGCAGTCTAGTTCAGCTGCTTCAGGAGCTTTGCTGACTGCTTTTTCAACTGTTTCCAGCCTTGGAACAGCATAGGCAGCTTTCTTAGGGCTTCCATCTCCCAGGCTAAATTCTGTTTCTTCCTGATGAGTAATTAGTTGGACTAACTCTGCCTGGAGTTCAAGATCTATCTTCATCTTCAAGGACCACCAGCAACCTTATCTTGATTGGACTGGGTTAGCACTGCTTTGAATCCCTTCCCTGTGGGATCAGTAGTGGCTGACATTAATGACTATGCCTTTTTAGACTCTGAGCAATTTCTACCAAAGCCTGGTACATTTGGCTGAGTTACTTCCACAAGCAGTGAATTATTTCTCACTTTGTGGTGTTCTGCTAACTCTAACTGTTCACCTGAAGGATATAATGTAAAAGACACTTCAATTTTTTGTCTTATTTTCACCCAGTGTAGCCGTGAAAGACTTCTGGTACAACTTCTTTTCTTGTTCTCTAATTTCTTCCATTTCAAAACAAATTTAAGCAAAACTAAAACAAAAACCCCTGCAGCCTTTTTTGCTGTTACTGTGAGTAAGTCCTGGAGGTTCTTAGAATGTGGTGTGCAACACTTTCTGTAGTGGTGTAACTAAGGAGATGAAAAACTAAACGTGTAATCTAGTTATGCCAATTTTAAATTTGGAAGCTGTCTCTCTCTCTCTCCCATGTCCAACTTGAGTATTGCAGATGTTTTCAAAACAGGCATCTGATCAGGAGGTTTGTTTTGGCTTACTGCATAATGCCTGAGATGGCTCATTTTTATTGCAAAGCTTGCGGTCTTTTATGGCCAGATTCTTGTTGTGGGGCCCTCTAGGAGTCTGGAGGTTTTGGAGAATGAAAACTGTCCCTCATACTCACTCACCCCATTTTCCAGCATTTTAGTACTAAATATTCAGCAGATACAGTTCTGACATTTTGAACTCAGTTAATCACTGCTAAACTTCCTTGGAGGTGATCGTGTTCAGGTAACACCTCCTGCACTGCACCAGCCAACCATTCCTTTTATCAGCTCTGGAGTCAAGGTTTTCATCTTTTTGGAAAGCACTGGCCAATAAAAAGTGCTTTCAGCTACCGAACTTTATGTATCGGTCTGTACATTAACACCCAGGCTTGAGATCCACCTGTAAATGAGACAAATGCAGCTGTTTGTTCTTTACTTCCAGCTGAGGCTGGGCACAGTGCCAGCCACTTTCAGGAGGTTTACATTTTTGGGATGCTGCAACAGTCACATTTCCTTGACTTGCAGTCTTTTTTGTGGCTCTTGTTTGGGTCCTTGAGCTGATCCATGTTCTTCCTTGAAGCACAGGACCTGAAAGGGGCATAGCACATGAGCTGACATCAGAGTGGCACTGGGTGGCACTGGAAGATTCCCCCTGTAGGTTGGCCAGGAGTGCGACGTGTGTCTCTTCACGGCAGCGTGACACTGCTGTGACTCCTGAGGGACTTGTGACTTACAGGGTTTTCTGCACACTGTTTGGCTGTTCTCCACTGTATGTTTGTGCCACAGGTTATTCTTGTAACACACAGCGTGGAGCTGTTGGTGCCTTAAAACTGACTGGTCATTTTTAGAGACTGTCTTTGATTTGTTCAGATCAGTGTCGGGTGTGATCCTGTTTTCCAAAGCTGTTTCTCCCAACTTGGGATCACTGGTAGACTTGGTAAGCCTGTTCTTGCTTCTGCCATGCAGATCCTCAGGGATGGACTCTTGAGGAAAACTACTCGGGGGATTTTGGCACTACACCACTCTAATTACTTGCCGACTGCTGTCTTTCAGCCTCCTTAAATTTCCACACCTGCAGCCCTGTTGCTTTTGCAGAACAACTTACATGAGGAGTGCTTGGGCCATGCTGTAAGCTCTGCACAGAATGAGGTCTTAGTTTTTTACTTTTTGTGGCAGCCCATGCAGAATAAACAAAGAACTTTTTTTACTGATTTCTGTCATGATGGTGACCTTAACTAGAAGACTGTATTTAGCTCAGAGGTGCTGTTACTCTCTGCAGTGCCCCATGTTGTTTTCTATGTGTAGATTAATCCTTTTATGTTTTTTCTCTCTTCTCCCAGTGACAAAGTGGACCTAGAGCTTCCTAGTACAGAGAGTGACACTTTGCCAGCTCCAGTGCTAGATGTTCCAGAGGATACAACAATGATATTTAAAGAGAAGACAGTCACCTCCCTTGGAGACCTGACAGAAGGGGTGCCAACATTTAAAAAGAGGAAATTTGAAAATGGAAAGTCTAGAAACTTAAGGCAAAGACTAAGTGATCAGTAATTCTTAAGAAATCATTTTAGTTTCTGTTTAAGCTAGGGTGAATCAAAAGTTTAATATTTTAAACAGGCTTTTATAAAGAAAAAGTTGGATAGAAATTAAGGATTTATAGGTATTAAAACATGTGAGTTGTAATCTTTTTTATTTTATTTTGATGTGATTGATTTGGAATGGAAGTTTGTGTTATATTACATATGCAATATTGTATAAATACATTTATTTTTCATTTTAACTATGCCATCCAAGTTCGCTTTGCTCTGTGTATGCTGTTTTAAATACATTGTGTGAGGTTTTTTACTCCTTTTCTAGGTATGGGAGAATATAGTAATCTTTAAGCTGGCAAAAATATTGCCTCCTTTTATCTTTACATAGGTATTGGATCAGTAGCATGTACCAGAGAGTAAAATCATTCCCCAGGATTGTTTATGTGGAGTAGTTTCCCAAATAACAAGTAAAAATATTGTACTTACTAACCTTTGGCTAATAGCTTGCACAAGAGTAGGTGGTGAGACTGCCAACATTTCAAATTGATCACTTAAAAGCTGTTTTTAGAGGAGTTAGTCACATCAGTGCTGCTCGTTCCAAATGATGACATGAAAAATTATTTGTGTACACTGCATGAAAAGGTATGAAACCTCTGCAGAAGGCTTAAACCTGATGAATCTTAACCTTTAAGAACAGCACCAGAGCCACTCCTGTTGGAGTAAGTATTTGTGTGGTGTCTTCCTGTTGTATTTTGCTTTACTGTTGTCTTTACTTGAATTTTCCCTTCTTTTTACACATAAAGTTTTCTTTTTTTGGTCATTTTATTTTTGTCTCTTTCCCCACAAAAAAAACAAACAAACAAACAAACAAACAAACAAAAAAAAAAAAACAAAAAAAAAAAAAAACAAACAACGCAACTGCCTGAAATTTTAATGAAAAAACATTCCAAAGACCTGGCCCTGCTACAGCATACAGGACGTGCTGTGAGGTTGGTGGGTTCATGTGTTGGCTAGAGGAGTGTATTGAATCGTGGCAGCACTCACTGAGCTGAGGAGGGCTGAGGGCACAGAGGGTGCGCTGAAGGTTCATCGTTCTCGGTACCAGAGGAGAAGAAAACAAAAGATGGATAAGTAGAGCTGAAGGTTGTACTGTCTGAGATGGCTTGGCCATTTTCTTAGGGATTTTAGATTTGATTTCTTCTCTTGGTGGGACTGGTCTGCGTTTAGCATCACCAAGGTTCCATTGGCTGTGTAGGAATACAGCTATACTCATTGCTTCTCTAGGTATCAGTCGGCCATAAAGGTTCAAGTCATGAATCCATTAAAAAAAACACAGCTCTCTTTCCCAAGCTCCCAGTTCAGGAGACTCTCAGACAAAACCAGGGGGTGTAGTTAAGACAGTTGTCAGAGCCCAGGTACGCAAAACAGAGCTGGTAGGTGCAATCCTTGTTGTGAAAGCGACTGTTAATCTGTCAGATCAGTGGAGAAGGAAGTGCAAGACTGGGAATCTGGTTTATTGTGTGTTGCAAAGGAGCCTGACATCATTTTTTTCTGTTCCGTGACCATTTCTCTGTGTGTAGGAAGAGAATTAAGAATTGTGTTTAATCGCATGTGTATGTTTGGCTTCATCAGGGTGGTTGTATTTCTTCTGAGGCCTGTTTTGAGAAATTTGGAAGTTTCCTGAAATATCCAGCTCTGGATTGTCATTTAGAGGTGCAGGACATGTGCTGGACGCTCTCACAGCCATAGATGCGGGAATGTACAGCATGTACTCCACGGGAAGATCTCACATGGAAGGCTAGAATAGAAACATCCTTTCTGCTGAAGAGAGGTTGTCGGCTTTCCTGAAAATCAGATTTTTCAGGTTTTGTTCATACTCTTATTGGAACACTGCTCCAGCAGCTAGGAGCCTGCTCTAACTTGAAGCCTCCCTGCGTTTGTGACCACTTTGCACTGACTTCCTCCCAATCTACACGAGTATTGCCCTTCAGCTCAGTAGCTTTTCTTCCTCTTGAATCCATGGCCTCTTTTCTCCTCAGAATCACAAAAAGCGTCCTTGTGTGACAGGACCTTCAGTGCTCCAGCAGCATTTCTCTTCATCCATTCCAGCCTGAGTTTGCCCCAGCCCTTATGTTCAAGGAAGATTAAGGCCACGTGTGATGTCACTAATTCTTCTGTAGCCTATTGGAAGTAACTCTTGATACGTCCCTAACCCACATTTGCATTTCACATGACTGCATCGTGCTGTCTGCCACGGGTGCCCTGTGGTTTACCAGCACAAGGAGCTCTTTCTACTCCTTTGCCATTGCCAGCTCCTGAGTTAACAGCTGATCAGGCTTGCCTTTGGGGCACAGGGAGTTGGGTCTTTTCCTGGAAACTTGTTTTCTTGAGAAGCTGCTGTTAGTTGTAGTATGAACTAAAGGTCTTTGTCAAGTGCTCTGTTAAATAAACAAACCAAAACATTAGGAAAAAAGATGAAATACTTTCTTGGTTCACTGCTAGTAAAATTGGCTTAAATACCATGCACTTGATTTTGCTGATGTGACTTCCAAAGCCCAGCGTTCCATTAAGAAATAGAGTACTTCACTCCCCAGTACCTCGAAGTCAGGTTGAGGAGAGACCAGTTTATTCTTCGTCCTTAAGTGCAAATTAGAGTAAGGGTCAGTTGAATCAAGTTTGAAATATCCAAAGCCACTGTTTAATTTTGCGCTGTGCTGCCATTCAATTACTGTGTATCTAAACCAAGTATTTTCTGTTCTAGACAAAAGGACTGTCTTGCATGAGATTTAAGGCAGACGCTGCTTTTCCAGGACCTCTGTTCTGCACAGATCTCTCTCCCTTCTGTGCTACCTCCCTGCAAAGCCTCCCACCTTTGGGATTTGCTGTAGGAATTTTCTAGGTACTACTCATCTGCCAGTCCTTCCTTGGGCTGCGCTGGCTTTTGATGAAAGGATGTTCCTTCTACTGTTTCAGAAGAAGAATGTTTTCTGGAGAAGTGTTTTGTTTTCTGACTAAGCCATCTTCTACTGTGCAACGTGGTTTTTATCTGCTTGCCTGTTTTTACTGCAAGCTCCCCATGTGAGGACTGTGTCCTTGGTTCTGTGGGCTGTCATAGACACGATTAATAACATAATGAGTGCTGGAGAGAAAGGGGGAGCCACTGCAACTTCTGATGATGGTTTCGTTTGTGTGGTTTTGAACAAGGCCATTCACTGCTCTGTAGTTTTTTTTCCATGCCTCATCTTTCACCTGTCTTGTCTGTTTAGAAAGACAACTTTCTACTACAGACACTTATCTGTGGGGTGTGTATTTTTACAGCAGGGCCAGCCTGAAGTTGGTGATGCTTTTAGAAGCAAACATACTGCACATACTGGAAAAAAAAAAAAAAAAACAAACACGTATTTTGTTGGGCATTTGTTATGCTAGGAGCTGTGTGGACCTGCTCAGTTTGACCCAGGTTACAGAATAATCCTTGTTCCTGTTTTGGCTAAGCCAAATATTAACCCTTCACCTGGGAACTTGTAGATTGAAATCCAGACTTTCTCAGTAGCCTGAAGTTTGCTTTTTGTTTGAGCTTTGTAACAAGATCTGTGCTGCAGCACCATCCAGTCCCAGAAGTCAGATTCAGAAGGTGGAAGGGCTGGTCATGACATGAGTCTGAGTTAAATTCACTAACCTCTGCATGTATAAAAACGTTGCCCCCCCCCCCCCCAAAAAAAAAATAAATTAAAAAAAGGTGCTATTTTGGTGCAAATGTTGGCATCTCAGAAAGGGGAGTAAAAAACTATTTCATGCTGCTTGCTTTCCTTGATTTACTCTTTGAGTCGTGCCTCCTCTTTTTAGTGCTTTTCTTATTATTGCCATCTTCCTCGAGCTGTCTTCCTCCAGCACTGCAGTATGTGCAAATCTACATAACACCTCTGTGCTGCGTTTCGGGCGCCCACCTCCACCTCCTCCCCTGCTCTGCAGAGATGTTTGGAAAGCTCCTTGTCTGGTGCAGGCCACCCACCGTGTGCCCAGGCCCAGCTCCCGCCTCACGCCTCTGCTGCCCCGAGGAGGCACAGCCTCGCCTGCTCCCCACAGCACGCCGAGCTGCTGCAGCACCAGGCACCCGTGCGCTTTTGGGTTCCCTGGTAGCTTGCTTTCCTGAGGTTCATTCCATTCCTCCTGCAGGGTCTGCAGCCCTTCAATCCTTTCGCTGGTTGCTACAAAAGCTGTCTGTGCGCCTTCTGCTGAGGCAACCCTTTGGTTCTGTTTAGCCAGCCATACCTCTTCGGCCTCTCTTGTATCTACCTCTTCAGTCCTCTTACCTTCTACCTGCTAAGTTATTTAACTTAGAAGTTGTGTTTAAGCGTTTGTGTGATCAACAAATTTAGCTGTGTGAAATTATTTGAGAATACAGCTGCAATGAAAGTTTCTGTACAAAGTGAAAAGTGTTGCCAGTAATGATCTGAAAAAAAAGGCCAAATTTGCCCGAGAGAATTCTCAGTGTCAGCAAACATAGGCTGGATTTTACCTGTCAACTTAGAAACAGCCTGTGCTAAAAACCAGCAGACAACGAGATACAGACCACGGGCTGAAGAAAGCAGATTTTAACAGCTTGCTCAGCTGAAGATACAAGGAAGAACAGTGTGGTGATACAAAAACGCTTGTTTTAGTTTATAAGTATTGTCTACAAAGTTACAACTGCTGGTTTCTCTTTAGCAGCTTCTCAGCTGCAATTACAAAGTATTGCAAGTTCTTGAAGTGGAATCTATATGAAAATATTGAATAAAGCTTTCATTTGAATAATCTGTATTACTGTTGTTCATCTCTTCAAGGCTTATAGGACAACCTGAGAGATCCATGGGTGCATATGCTGTTAAAAATGGGGCCTGGGATAAATATAAACCAAAATAAGTATGTAAATACGGAAATGCTTCTTAAATACTTTTATTTTGTGGTCACTGGAGTAGTGTCTGGGTGCCTTCCAGTAGCCCATTAAGCGGTTACTGGAAATGGTTTTACTCTGTGCATCAG